ACAAATTCACTAATTTGTTCTTTCTTTTGAGGACAAAGAGTAACCTTACAGCTCCCTCAAGAATTATACCCCAAATTCTTGAGCACACTCTTTTTCAAGGAGAAATACACAAATTTGCAAACTTACAAGGAAAACCTCACAAGGTAAGATGTTTGCATAATTCTAGAACAAGAAAAAACACTCACAAATAATTACAAATGAGCACAAATGGTGTTCTTTGAAAGCAAAATGAATATTGAAAGGAAAATTGGCTTGATTTGCACAAACTTGGTGTTTGATGCTTTCTCTCTTGTTTCTCTCTATTTTCTTGTTGATCAAGGGCTTCAAAACTTGTTTAAATACACCTTGAATCACTTCTGAACGTTGGAGATGATTAGTGAAGATCATATAGCCGTTTTAGTGTGAAAACAATTAATAAAACAGCTTGGAGCGTGGGGGGAATCGATACCCCCTATGGGGAATCGGTTCCCTAAGTGTAAAATTCAAATATTTCGACCGTTATACAAGGGGGAATCGGTACCCCCTATGGGGGAATCGGTTCCCTCCGAGCATTCTGGAAATCTCGGAGCCAAACCATTCAGGGGGGAATCGGTACCCCCTTGGGGGGGAATCGGTTCCCTCTGAGCAATCTGGAATTTTTGGCTTTGAAATGGTTCGAAATACTTTGAAAGATTATTTTGAAATTGTTTTAAGATTAAAACTTAATTTTACACTTAAGTAAGGATTAAAAATGATTTTTGAAATATTTGGAGTAATGTTTTGATATTCGAATAATTATATCGAATATACTTAGAAAATCATTTGGAAAATCTTAAAATTCATTTAACTTAATTTGTTATATCGAAATATCAAAATGTTTTCAAAAATGTTTTCAACAGATACTTTATAAAAATGTACCGATCCACAACAATATAATAAGTAAAAATATGACAAAATCAGTCTCGAAATGACAAAATCGGTAGTAAAAAAATGTGTTCCTGTGGTCATTTTTATTTCATATTTTTTAATACGAAAAGTTGGATATTTTAAGCAAAACCCAGTAAGAAAAGAACAAAAACTTTGCAGTAACAAAAGAATAACATTGGGAAACCCACCATGTTATCAGTTTCTCAAAGAACAAAAATCCAGAAACATGTAAATTTACAATGTAACCGGTAAAAATATACTGGTTAATTAGCAAATAGGTTTACATTATGTATCGACACTCTTTAAATATGTGTCGATACTTTTTTCCCAAAATGAAAGCACAACGAGGTACACGCATAAAGTGTCGATACATTTAAAATTGTATTAATCTCAAAAACATCAAAACCGATAATTATAATGTAATAGGTAAATTTATAATGTTACCGGTTTAAATATACATGTTTAGTTAGAAAATAGGTCAATATAAGCACTATCTATTACATTATATAAGCGCTACCTAATATATTATTGTACTTGATAATATTTTCAGTTAAATGATATAACATAATCAGTCTAAATTTTAACCGATTTAAATTTTAACCGACCACTTATATAACATATCACATCGATTTTTAGCTTTTTTTTTTTTTAAACGCCGCACAATTGAAATTCCCCACGTACTAGAAGATAATCTTGGATAAACAAGTGAAAATCGCCAACTCTTGACAACCTTACACCATTAATGGATGAATTATGACAAGGTTTCAGGTCAAGTCATTTCAACGAAGAACGCTTACGATGATGTTTGGTTAAAGGTAAGCAGACAAAAACTTGAGGGACATACAAATTTTGGGGATAATCTTAATTTTAATGGTGAAAAGACATGCTACGTAGAGTGTTGTGAATCACTCCTATGTTGTATGCATGAAAATTATCTGGGATATAGATAAATTTTAGATATTATATATATATTTTTTATGATTGTTTATATGATTTATACTAGTCCATGTGTATAAACTTGGCGGTATACATATTACTGGTCAGAGCCGACTAGCAGTGGAAGCAGATTGCTCAGGATCTTTATTTTTTATAAGATTTTTAATTTTTTTTCAATATTACTTTTCATAATAAGGCTATTTTAAAATAAGGCTAGGCCAAGCTAAGTCGTCTGAACCCATCTGTGACCACAGACCATAGGTTCATAATGCTGGAACTTGGAAAGGTATATGGAGGAAGGAGATACTTATTAAGGTTAAAATCCATTATAAGTTCTCATACTATATAAAATGTTGATTTTATTATAAAAATATTTTAATTATTAGGCATTTGAAAATATAAATATTTTGCTCGAAAAATGTTAAGAAATTACTTAGATATTTTAGTTTACATACTCTTTAAGATCATATTATTTTGAAATTAAGTAAATTTATACCTTCTAAAATAAAGAAGAAGAATTTAGTCAATTTACATTTTAAAAGTAGGTAAATAATATTAATCTATGATGATAGTGACTTTTTGTTAATAGTCCTACTGTAATTGGATAATATTTATATTAAGATAAAATAAAAAATTTAAATAATTTTATAGTATTTTTAATAATTTAAAAAAAATAATGACAAATTACTTTTTTTATTTGATATCATTTTTTAATTAAACTCATACTTTCATTCTAAATCTAAATCTAAAAGTTCAACTAAATTATCGTTTATTTTTATTAGTGATTAATTATTTTATTTTTACATAAAATTTCAGAAACACTTATGAAATCTAAATATAAATTAGTCGGTGACTTTTAATGTTTTTATTTTTGTGTGTCTTTGACCTTGATTTGAAGTCTCTATTCTAGCTTGGTGCTTATAATTTTTATATTTTTATATGCTGGATTGTATAACTAGTGTAATTGTGCAATCGTTTTTTTATTCAAATAAACTCACCTTTTAAAAATAATATTCTTACTTAAAGTTCCATTGTCTTACTAGGAATGCATTAGTTAATCTGAAATGTCTTCCTATTATTATTTTCTTTTGTGCGTGATTGTCAAAATTAATCATATTTATGTTTTGGTTTGTAATTGTAATATTAGTATAAGTGAAGAAAAAGTTTGAAGTTAAAATAAGAATTGTTTTTGTATTAGATTTCATTTTTTTAAAAAAATGTATATAAAAATAGAAAAACATTTTAAGAGGGATTAATTTGGTCAAATTCAAAATTAAGAGAGACCTAAAAAATGTTTAAACCCGTATATTTAAATCAATTAGCTATAATAACTTCCATATTTTACATCAAAATATTAACTTTTTAAAAATATTATTTTTATAATAAAAGGATTAATATAAACTTTTAAATATAATGAAAAAATTATAATAAACATTTGTATTCTTATTATAGAATCCTAAACGTGGAAACCACCGAACCAAACAATGGTTGTAAATATGGAGCATGGTCCTGAATCAATCGGCAGGCGAGGCCTGACCACGGGGTGGACCAAACTCTCCAAATCCAGCAGTTCGCAGCAACTTTTGTAATCTAAATGCGTAAGTGCACCAAAAATTGATTCTTATTGTGGGTTGGATTGTCAGTTGTCATGGTTACTGCTGCTGCTGCTTTTTTGGCGAGAAAGGCTAAAATGAATTGATGGGCAACTTTATGTTAGCTGGTGATTTTATGTTAGACAATTAATACATCTTTTGAAACCTAAGATTAATTAAGTTGAATAAAAATGTTTTCGATTAATGAACTTTAATCATAGCAAACCATGGCCTATAGAATAATAGTAGAAGGTTTCACCCTACATCTAGAGATCAATCAAATATGACAGGTGAGGGTAGTCGCTTCCTTGAAAATTTTAATTTTTTTTATATATCTTAAATATTTTCTTCGTATTTTTTTACTGACAATCCATTTTCGTCTCCTATAAATATATAAATTATCTCCCTAACATAAACTTGCATGCTAGGCGGCCAGCCAGCAAAGTCCATAGTCTAGAAAGAGGTATAAGATAGGGATTGATATTAGCAATAAAATATGGACATATTAAGCAAGAGACCAAAATTGAAGGGCAACAGGTGGGTGTGTCGAGTAAAGTGGTCACATCTTAGGTAGAAATTAGTTGGATAGCAGCAATGATGGTAACTTTGACGCCATGTTGTTAGAGGGCGTTGGACCAGCAGTAATAAACTCTCTATATATAGCTATGCAAATTTCCTACACATTCATCCTCTTGCTGCTGCCTCTGCAACCATATTAACGCCAATATTTTCGACGCTGAATATTCATGAAAAGGAAATCCTAGAATACGGATCGATACCGTCAAGTTATTATGCAATAACTGCTTCCATCAAATCCTCGGTGTAACGCATTACGATTAAAAAGCCTTTTTGCTATATATTCGGTACAAAATTAACTTATTTTTTTATAACTCAAATACCATTAAAAAAATAAAATAAGTTCATTAACTTAAAAAATTAATTTAACTCTCAAACTCAATAAAAAATTAATTTAACCCACATATCATATCACTAAATAATTATGATCGATATTATAATAGTTAAAGATAAAAATTGTTGGTAAAAAAGACACATTGATTTTTTCTCCTAAATTTATGTGTTACGTTGAGTATAAAAATGATTTGAGTCACATTAAACTTTTTTAAACTTACAAAAACCTCGTATATTTTTTATCTATTTTTAAAATCATGAATGACAATATATATTTATCCTGTATATAACATACACAGTTAACAAAAGAGTGTGTTATCTTAAAAATTAATTTAATATATATATTAATTTAAAAGTAGTTTTTATAATAATTTTTATTAAAAAATAATTGTCCATCAAATTCAGTAATCCTAAACAAGAAAGGAAAAAAAAAAGACGAAAAGAATATGTTACTGGTTCACTATTTGGTTCTGGACATGTACTACTCTGCAAAATAAAGAGATACCAAAACTATCATGAGAGAAAAGTTAACAAGGAAAAAAAAGTTTATAGTTTGAAGTACATATAAACAGAAACGACTCTTCCCAACGACACTATCCCTGCACCGCTCTCTGTACGATAAACTTCATGCTTAGCTTAGGTATTTTAACTTTCAGTTCAGGTCCATTCCTCGAGTTCCAATGGACCCCACCCTAGAACTCTTGCTAGCCATTGGTCATCGTCAACCTCCATTTTGTCTGCTTCTCCTTTACCTCCTCCGCCTATTACTACATTGTTATTATCGTCAAACCCCATTTTCATTATCCGCAACTCGTTGTCCGATGACCCGTTTCCGGTCTCTGGTAACCCTCCCTTTATGTCGGGCATCTTCTTGGTGGGTCCCACGAATTCAATGCCAGCCATCACCGTGGACGACAAGTCGGACATTGAAGCCCCGCAGCTCTCACTGATCTTAACGTCGTTAAGGGGAAAGAACGTCAGTGAAGGAAATAATGGAGGTGATAAAGAAGAAGAAGAATATAGTGATGGAAAAGTTACTGTTGATGGCGGATAAGTGTTGGAAGAAGAGGTAGCTAATGTAATTTCTTTGTAAAGCTCTTGCATAATCTCCTCTACTTTATCTTCTTCGACCAAACGCTCGAAGGAGAGCTCGCTTCCGTCGTCGGAGTCCATCAACAAGACGTCAAGCTTCCCCGAAATGTCTCCGGGAAGTTCAGTCTTCTGTGACTTCAAGTCTTCTTGTCCTCTTCCTAGCATCATCATTAATTTTGTTTGGGCTTTTTGTTTGTACGTCGAAGGGTTTGCAAGGGAATGAAGAGAAAGGAGAAACGCTTAATATAAAGAGAGAAACGAAAAAGGATACACGTCGGCAAAGGGAAGAGGTGATGCCAGGTAGGATGGTAGGTGCAAGAGAAATGACGTGGAAACAGTGGATGAAGGAGGTGACAAAAGTAGGACAAAAAAATTTATTGGTTTTGACTAATTATTAATTTTAAGAAAAAAATAGATATAAAGATATGTTTATAATATTTTTACAAAATGAATTTATATAGGAATAAAAAATTTTAATCGTTGTACATACATTTTATGGACAAAATTTTTAAGCCCATAAATTTTATTATAATAACATTTTATTAAATCATTGAAGTCACTTAATTAATTTTCTCCAGATATCAGATGCACTAACCATTTGGATTTTATGAATAATTATTTTTAGAATCAATAAAAAATGTTTAAAATAGTGACAAAATAAAAATTAATCAGCCTGATTATTAATGAATTAGGTAGGCATATTTAGTTGTGTTATAGGGAGTACAAATAAAGTACTAGAGAGTACTTAAAAAATCATAGAAGAGTGCCAAAATCAATTAAAATTTTGATCTTAATATTAGAAAGTACAACGAATTTCCAAGAGGAAAAAATGTTATCATGATTTAGTGATATACAGCTTCATGTAAAAAATAAACTAGAAAAAATCTACTATTATAATATTATTTACTGTTTGATGGCATTTAATTTAGTATCTTCTGTACCTTTTTCTTTGCTCCAATTATAATACAAGGAGACAATAATATTAACTTGATCTTGAAGGTGCCAATAGGAGAACATCAACTACTGCAAACTTGGTTTTGATCATTCTAAAGATTAAGCAGCAGAAACAGCAATTACTGCATTAGGAGGTTGCTTTAAGAAACAAACCTACCTCGCAGGACCAAACATCATGGCTTAATTCGAGCATCTTTATGTTCCTTTGGTCTGGCCTTGCACATGCAGTGTGATATTTCTCTTTTAAAAGAAAAAAACTGGAATTCTGGAATTCCAAAGGAAAAAGAGATATTCATTACAACCAAGCCAGCCAGCCTTCCCTGTAAAATAATTTGAAGACAATTTATAGGCTTTGGCCATTTCTTTCATAATATATATATATATATATTGAATTTCACACATCAGGTAATCATTGTGAGGATCATCCATCTAGGTTACAACATCTTTAGGCCCAGATTGCAAGGGAAGCCATCATACTAAAGCCATCCTCTTGCTCAGAAAATCAGCTGCAATTAGATCTACTAAAGCCATATAAACCATAATTCCAGCCGACAAACAGTCTAAGATGCCTTCCGTGATCAAACCTGCCGGGCTGTAAGAATTGTAGGATGAAGCAATGGCAGTTCCAATGCCAATTCCAATAGGGGTCGTAATCGCAAAAAAGCATCCCATGACTGTGGCTGATAGCGTTTTGAATTGAGCTTGGGAGATGCAACCTCCGAGTGCAAACCCTTCAAAGAACTGATGAAACGATAATGCCGCAATTAGAGGTCTCATTGTGCATGGACTCTGGGAAAACCCTAATGATAGGCCGATAATAACAGAATGTGATGCGATCCCAAGCTCCAAAATCTGCAACAATCCAAAAGAAATGTCACTTCATGAATACACTTGTTATAAATGATCATGACAGAAGAATGATGCAACAGTTTTTCACCACAATGACCTGGGAAACGACGACGTGCCTCGTTCCGTTATCGTCATCCTCATCTCCAGAGCCATGTGTTATGTTTGGTTTGAAATTAAGTTTGACAAGTTGGAAATCTTATCTTGGTTGGTGGCCAACTTATTGAAAAATTCATCTTGGTTGGTGGACAACTTATTGGAAAAAATCTTTGGCAGGTGGACAACTTATTTTTCATCTTTGATCCCTAAATTATTAGGTTATTTATAAGTTTAGTCTTTAAAACTCAACTATAAATAGGCCTAAGTATTTCATTAGAAATCATCCCAAAAAACAAGTTCTCTATTCCTCTTGTTTTCTTCATTCTCTCACTTTGGGAATTCTAAAGAATTCAATTTGTTGTAATATTTGTTGATAGTGAAGTTATCATCCGGTGTGGTGCCAGAGGAGTAGACGATATTCTCGTCGAACCTTGTAAATTTAGTGTGTTCTCTCCTGTATTGTTCTTTATTCGGGTTTTCCATTGTGTTTAAATATTCAATAGTTTGACAGGTTTATCTTCTATGCAACCTTTGGTGGTTTTGATATTGACATTTTAGGTCAATTTTGAAACTACGCTCGTGTGAGAAATAACCCGGTTTCCCCAATAATTGGTATCAGAGCTTCAGTTGAGGTTATCATAGTGGTTCTGTTGCTGAAAAAATATAGTTCGTGATATTGAATATTGTTCGTTAGAATTAAAATATCAAAATACAGATCAGTTGAGACATCAAGCTCTTCATCTTGATCGGTGAGGAGGGTGATGTCAAATGTAAATTTCTCTGTGGAATTGTTCGATGGATCCGGTCATTTTGGCATGTGGAAAGGCGAGGTGTTAGACGCTTTATTCCAACAAGGTCTAGACATCGCCATTGAGGAAGAAAAGCCCGAATATATGGAGGAGAAAGAATGGGGAACAATTAATCGTTTGGCGTGCAACACGATTCGATCTTGTCTTTCCAGGGAACAGAAGTATGGCTAAAAGAACGAGACTTCTGCAAGTAAGACGTGAAAAGCATTAGAGGAAAAATTCCTAAAGAAAAGCTCTCAGAATCGTCTCCATATAAAGAAAATATTGTTCAGATTTGATTATCAACCAGACACCAGTATGAATGAACACATCACTGCTTTCAATGAGCTAGTGGCAGACTTATTGGGTATGGATGAAACCTTCAAAGATGAAGATTCGACCTTGATGTTGTTGTCATCTCTTCTAGATGAATTTGAGCACCTTGAGACAACGTTACTTCATGGTAAGGATAATGTTACCCTTAAAAATGTAACTGCTGCTTTGTATAGTTATGAGCTCAGGAAGAAAACCAAGAAAGATAGCAAGTACGAAGCAGCGGAGGCCATGGTGGTAAGAGGTCGCTCGAAAAGCAAAAGCCAAAGTGGAGAGGGAGATCAAAGTCAAAGTCAAGACTGGGAAAAGATGAATGTGCCTTTTGTCATGAGAAATGCCATTGGAAGAAAGATTGTCCGAAGCTGAAGAAGAAAGGAAAAGCTGCTCCAGATGCATGTGTTGCAGAGCATGATGCAAATGACTCTGATATATCATTGGTTGCTTCATCAACAATATTCCATTCAGATGAGTGGATATTAGATTCGGGTTGTACCTATCATATGTCCCCTAATCGAGAGAGGTTCTCCGATTTAGTAGAACTAAATGCAGGAGTTGTTTATATGGGCAATGACAATGTCTGTAAAACTGTTGGGATATGTTCAATTCGATTGAAGAATCAAGATAGATCAACTATAGTTCTGACTAATGTCCGATACGTACCCAGTTTGAAGAAAAATTGTATCTCGTTGGGAGCCTTGGAATCTAAAGGCTTAGTAGTCACTATGAGAGGTGGAGTTTTAAAAGTCACATATGGCACACTTGTGATGATGAAGGGCATCGTGAAAAATAATTTTTATTACTACCAAGGTAGTACAATTATTGGAGCAGTTGCAGCAGCTTCCATAGGTGATGATTTGGAAGCAACCCAGTTGTGGCATATGCGGTTGGGACATACTTGAGAGAAATCCTTGCAAATTATGGCAAAGAAAGGATTGTTAAAAGGTGCAAAGGCTTGCAAATTGAACTTTTGCGATCATTGTATTCTGGGAAAGCAGAAGAGAGTGAAGTTTGACACCACTATACATAATACAAAAGGTATTATGAATTATATTCACTCAGATGTATGGGGTCCTTCAAAGACATCGTCTTTGGGAGGAAACCATTATTTTGTAACATTTATAGATGACTTTTCCAGAAGAGTTTGGGTGTATCCAATGAAGTCTAAAGATGAAGTGCTTCGAATTTTCTTGAAATGGAAAAATATGATCGAGAACCAGACTGGTAGAAAGATCAAACGTCTTAGGACGGAGAATGAAGGGGAATATAACAGTGACCCATTCTTTGACGTTTGCCATGATTATGGTATTGTTCGACACTTCACTGTTAGAAATACACCACAACAGAATGGGGTGGCAGAGCGTATGAATCGAACACTATTGGAGAAAGTTCTGTAACACCCCAACCCGTATCCAACCCGGATACGAATCCGAGGTGTCACATTGACCTTTTAAAACATGTACTTGTATAAAATAGTGAGTAATTTAAAACTTTTATAACATATAAATGACTAATTTACATAAAAGACATTTTTTATTATTACAAAACCAATCAGAGCATGTATATTTCACTTATTATTTACATATAACTATTCGAAACATTTATAAAACTGTTCATAGCTTAAACAATAGATTCTTTTGAAAACATGCCAACTAGAACTTTATATACTAAAATACATATTATTCACATCTTTTCTGATATGACCTTTAGTAAGGAGAACTGACCTGTCTTGCTCCACATTGCTCTTTACTCTTCTCGAAACCTACGTGTAAATCACTTACACGCTAAGTCAAAGACTTAGTGAGGCATATAAACATATAAGGTAAACGGTAATTAATAATCATACCTAAACAATTACTACTATCATTTCATACCACTCATACTTTTATATATAACAAATATATGCATACATATATGTCATTATCATTCATATCTCTTATCTCATGTTCCTATGATCTCTTATGTCCATATCATATAACATATACCATAACCAATTGCACATATACATATCATGTTATGTAAACCATATATATATATACTATCATAAAACACGTACACCCAAGCAATTATATTACCATCTTCATTTCTTTCTTATTTTATCACTATCATTGATTCTTTTCATCATATGGTCTTATAAGTTACCATTTGTATAATCAAT